AAGAGCCTAGAAGACCTCATCTTGACGCCGCTCATCGTCTACTTCGATATTTGAAAGGGTCACCAGGACAAGGACTATTCTTTTCTTAAGAAAACAATCTGAGTTTGATTGGATTCTGTAAAGCAGATTGGGCTGGGGATATTACTACACATTGATCAGTAACAGGATATTGAATTTTCCTAGAAATGAAAAAAGCAGACTACAGTATCTAAAATCTTCAGCCGATGCAGAATATAGGTCTATGGCCTCTATCGCTTGTGAGTTAACTTGGATAAGACAATTATTGCAAGATTTGTGCGTTAGTCATAGTCAACCTATGACTTTATTCTGTGATAACCAAGCAGCTATACACATTGCTGCTAACCCAGTTTTCCATGAGAGAACGAAGCACACCGAGATCGACTGTCGCATTGTCCGAGAACCGATGGGAAATTAAAACAGCATATATATCAAGCGAAAACCAAGTTGTAGATTTGTTCACTAAACCATTGGGCAAAGTTCCTTTTCACACACTTACTTGCAAGTTGGGCGTTCTTGAAATACATGGTCCAACTTGAGAGGGAGTATTAAAGGAAACAGATTTCCATATATCGACATAGAAGGAAATTGTCGTTTGTAATGATTTGTAATTATTACTCCCATATTATTGTTTATTCCATTCATTATGTAATTGACTAGAGTTAGGAAAGTTAGCACTATATATGTAGTGATCTTGTATTGATGTAATGATTCACAAACAGTAAAACATGGTTCCTTTTTCCTCTCTCCCAAAACACCAGACTTCTCACCAGTTTTCAGAAACAATTCATCAACCGCAGATGATGCATAGTGCACCATCTGCCCCACGACAAGGACATGTGATGGAAAATCAACAGTGAATACCTTCTTAGCAGTTTCAACCTCTTAATGAAGCTCTATCACAATTTATTCAGATGCTATCACCACAAAAGCAAACTTAACAAGCCAGTTTTCAGTCATCACAACAAGTGTTCTCTCAACTTCAACAGTAGCCGCAGATGCCGTAGACATCAAACTATATTAAATGTGCTACTGCTCCATCTTGGTTTGAAAT